TAACCGTGTAGTAATTGTATATCTAATATGCCTAGAATTTTAAATTACATCCTATCCGAAAAGTTATTTCTATTTTTATAGATGATCAGAGCTATTAAGAATTTATAATATATGGTTATAAGCTTAAAGCTCAAATATATCTCTAAAAAAATACGATCAGGTATAAATATATCCCTATAAAAATTAAAATATAGCTATTAATTATATCTCTATAAAAAAATAAAATAAAGGTATTTGATGGTTGAATTTTCCTAGTTTGCTAAATTGAAAAAAGACTATGGGGATGAACGTCATCCGGATTAGCCGTTGGAATATTTAACTATCTCATCAAGGTATTATATAAATTTTTTTTAGAATCTAATAAATATCTCCAAGATAGAGCCAACTCCCTCAAAAATTTTTTTTTAATTGAAAATATAGCAAATCCCCAAATTTTCCTGAGCCCGATGACCTGAATATTGGTAGATAATACATATGAATTAAATTCTTGAAAGTAATCATCTAATTGTATGAAAGTTGAATCATTAATGCAAATGAAACTGTGAATACTTTTTATTATTTTTTTCTTCTCTATTTATCAAAATTTAAATTTAATACTCATAATTCTGAAAATAAATGTCGATACTTTTAGTATACATATAAAACTCAAAATTTAGCAATAGAAATTCAATATTATAATTAACAAAGATGACTCAAAACAGGAAAGATGACTTGTTTAAGGTTTTATAATTGATTGAAGACATAGATGATAAAATCTACAATTTAATAATTGAAATGCTCTTAAAGGATGGAAATTCAGATTCTCTCAAATATATTTCCTATAATTAAAATCAATTTAGTTACAAAAAATACATTGTTTTATGCGACGATTTATAGCCTTTTGATTAGCATTGGAAAATAGAAGCCGCTAAAAGCAACCTTAAGAAAATTACAAATGTTCTCTAAATAATAAAAGATCATGAATTTAATAAACAGAATTACTCGATCGATGATTATGAAGAAAGAAAAAAGGATCTGATCATAAAAATATCATGGGATAAGAAAATCATACAATTTCTCATATTTTTAGTTCATCTGACTGCCTTAGATGAGAGATACACTTAGTGTGGATCGAATTCTCTTCATTTGCTAGTTTAGATGAAGGCTGATTTGAGGGAATAATGTTTTGAGAATATCAGAATTAGAGATACCTCTTTAGATGGTGGAAATTTTGTACGATGCAATTTCAATGGATCAGAATTTGACAATGTAGATATTAATGGAATGAAATTGAATTAAGCTTAATTGTTTAATTGTAAATGGAAAAATATCAAAATTCATGAGTTAAATAAATTGGATAGTCATGGCAGAGTTAATTAGGTATGCTTTTCTCCAGATGGTAAATCATTAGCTTCTTGTAGTGATGATAATTCTATTATATTGTGGGATTTTAAAACTGGGAAAAAAAAGCTAAAAAACAGGGTAAAAGGGGAGGTAAAATCAATATGCTTCTCACCTAATAATAGTACATTAGCTTTCAGTAGTGGAGATTTTGTGTATTTATGGAATCTTAAAACAGGAAAATAAAATGTCAGATTAGGATTAGAGGGTCATACTAAAAAAGTTATGTCAATCAATTTCTCTCCTGATGGTACTACATTAGCATCTAGTGGTGGATCTAAAAATGGTGGGGGATAATGTTCTATCTGTTTGTGGGATGTTAAGACAGGATAATAAAAAGCAAAATTAAATGGGCATTTAAATACAGTTTATTCAATTTGTTACTCTCCTGATGGTACTACATTAGCATCTGGTAG